CCTAAATATGACTCAAAATTCGAACACAATACAAACGAACTTTTTTCATAATAATATAATATATTGTGGTCATTTGGTGTTAATTTGGGCCAAGATAGTTGAGAAGTTTTTGTATCCAAAATGTCGGACTTTACACTTTATATGTTCCTAACCTAAAGTCATTGTTTGTTGGGCCTATAATAAGGTTGGCGTAGGCCGTGACTTGGGCCAACTTTCATTCTGAACATAATGAATTCTCTCCAAAGAGCACAATTCAATACAACTCAAAAATTAAAAAAAATAAATAAATATAAAATAAATAAATAAATAAATCATTCCCCGACCAAAAATTATATATGCTATAAATTCATTTGATTATTTCTCTCTTGAATTTTAATATAATTTTTAAATAAAAAAATCAACAAGTACTTAATTTTTTTTCTATAAATTCAATTCTATATTCTATAATTATTAACCATTATTCGAAACCAAACATGGAGGAGCGCTATTTCTTGATGTCACATCATTGATTTCCAATAGTTCCTAACCAACTCTTATTTAAAATAAGGAAAAAATACTACGGTCCCGTTATAAAACCATTCCGTCGAGATTTATAACTGTTAGATCATCATCTAATGTCGCATAGTTGATCTAACCATTACAAACGTCGACATAATAGTTCTATAACGAAACCGTAGCATCTCCTTTAAAATAAAATAAAAATCCCAACAAGACACTGGTTGCAACTCAAATTACGTGGCTTTACTCCAAACTTTTTTTAAGAAAAAAAAAAAAAGAAAGAAAGAAAAAACGAACAAAAATCTGTATGGTCAGAGTCCAAAAAATAGGTTTAAAAGCTCGTAAATATTAGCCAAAAAAAAAAAAGTAAGGTGACATCAGCACCCCCAATAATTATATTCCAGAAAATCAAGAAATTGACAGCGTGGGGTCCACGTGTCCATCGCGCTTGCATCTCCGTGTACACAGCGCGTACGTGGATATTTATTAATGATTTTATTTTATTTTACTCTTAATTCAATCACAAGAAAAGGACCATTCTACCCAAATGTACAATTAATCTCATTTCAAATGAATCTTACACTCAACATGTGTTCGGTCCATAGGAAGTTAGTTTAGTTGTAACTTTTGTACGTGGAGGATTTGCAATTGGAGACAAAACCTAAGCTCATTATCACTTCAAACCGAAAGGCAAAAAATGAGATAGGAGATGAGATAATTAAAATGGAAAATATCTGGTTTCGTTATGGAGTAATTGGGTGGATCAGCTTATGGAGTCATTATAGTCATTCACGAATGATGTATCGACACGTGTTCTGCGATAAATACATATTAAACATGTGTCACTATATAAAGTCATGGATGACTTTATAAGGGTGTCATATGATTGGCTCCATAGAATTTCTGGTCTTGATAATGATTATATATGTTTTAAACAATTGAGACATTAGTTATACAAGGGTGTGATTGGATAGAAACAAAGTTGATTTTTTTTTTTTCAGTTAGTTAAAGAAAATAATATGATATTGTTACTTGTTAGTAAAAATTTAAGTTTATATTAAAATAATATTTAAAATAAAATAATTAGAGTTAATCTGATCTAAATTAATATTAACATAAAATCAAAAATTTCATTAACAGCTAACTATACGACATTTTTCAAAATTAACTATAGGTGACAAAAAAAACTCATTTTTCAGTTGTGTTGTACCACAAATCTTCAAACTGCTCAACTGCTCCTCTCAAACCGGGTCGTCTCCTTGATCGTCGGTACCTGCAAAACACGCCGGGGTAGTCCCGGCGCGAACATTCCGACGCTCAAGTCAGTGATATTCCGGAGAGAAAACGGCAGAGTAACGAGATAATGCGTATGTGTGTGTTGTGTAAAATGAATGAACTTGTGTTCTTTTATAAGCGAAGTTGAAGACTCCTCATGAGACAGGAAGTCTTTCCGGTGTCTATCTCTTAATCAAGTCGAGAAATCCCAAATCTTGAAAGTCCTTGAGGTTGTGAACTTCATCATGACTTGATCAGAAAGCTACCTCTGGGCTCTGGTCCCCTCGGCGGAACACTCTGGCCGAGCTGCCTAGGTGCCGAGGCGCCTAGTTGCGTAGCTGCATGGGCTCCAAACTGCGTAGATGCGTAGCTACGTAGCTGGCTAGGCGCCTAGCTGCTGAGATGCCTCGCTGCCTAGGCGATTACACCCGCCTAGCTCATCACTCTCAGTATACCGCCTAGCTTATTACACCGAGCTAATCTCCGCCTAACTGCGACTATGTTCGGCCTATGACCGGTCCCTTAACCGCTATTCATAGCCGTATCAAACTGATACAATTGCATACAAACACGTCTTTAGTCATGGGACTGATAGTACGGTTGTGTAAATGATTATAGGAAATCCAAATTTGAATGGCCATTGGTCACCTTAGCTTCTAGAAATATTTGACCATTATGAATAATTTTAAGAATATAATTTTGAAAAACGATTGGCAATGTTGACTTTAAAAATCAAAAAACACACAATGGGAATTCTTTTGTGAATTTCTCAGAAATTTCGTCTAACTTAAATTCGCTGTGGCTTCACATTTTTTTTTTTTTCGGCTATCAGATGCAAATACGCTGAATATAATAAGTTACTATTTGCAGCCAAATTCGCTATTTACTTTCCCTAATTAGTGGTATCTGAATCATTCTACCAACAAATATAAATCATAAAATTAATTAATTTCAAACTGATATAATGACATAATTTGAACAAACATATAAAATTATTTAGTGGGGAGAATATTCTTACATGCCATGATTTCTGATTTCATTAAATATGTATTGTGTTACCAGTGCGATGCATAGACTAATTTTATTAAGGTAATCATTTAAATTTGGATGATTGAAAATTTGGAATGCGTGTATTGAAATAAAATAAAATGTAACTTATATATTATTAAACACATCCTTATATACAATATTATTTGTTTGGTCTTTTGGTACATTGTTTATCGCCACAAATTATTTTAGGATATTAGATATGCTTAAATAAATTAATTAAATTATTTAGCAAGATATGTATGATATTTTGTAAGTGTATGCAATCATCATTTTATTTGTAAGTGTATGCAATCAATTTCAAATTTGTATTCTAGAGTATTAAACAAAACCCAAATTTTAGAATGTTTCAATCCGAAATCATTTTGAATTTCAAATAAATTTTATAAGACTTTCTTTTATGTTAAAGAAAATCGAACTAAAGAAAGTAGTAGCCAAATTATAAGAGAATTTTAATTTTAATTTTCAATTTGAAATTGGGCTCAATTTCAATGCAATTCAATTTTTTTTAATAGACATGATCAGTTGCAATTAGGTAAAAATACATGTTATAATTTTTTTCCTAATTCGAGATTTTCGGGTTATGATAAACATATTTTTTAATAAAAAATGAGAGAATTTCAACTTTTACAAAACTGACATGTCGAATTTTACCTAAATTAACTTGATTTCTATGCAATCTATTTTTTTAATAAACAATTTATATGTTTCAATTTGTAAAAGATAAATGTAATAGTATTCTGCCTAATTATCAATTCTCGATTTTACGGTAATCAGCTTGTTTTAAATAAAAAATAAGAAAGAATTTTGACTTTTGTAAAATAATAAGCATCAGTCAAATACCTAAATTAAATCCACAAAATCCTTGAATTTAGGGTTCATATATAGCTGATCAATTTTTTTAAATAATTAAAAAAAATTAAAACTACCAAAAATAAAATGCAATAAATACTATTTGATTTTTCTTGTTACTATTATTGGTAAACATGTTATCATTTTAAATTAACTATTTTCTTGTATATATATTCTTGTTACTATTTTTAACCCGGATGAATTATATTAAAAATAACATTATATTAACATTTGTGAAAATGATAGTATCATCTAATTTTAAAAATAACATCATGTACAATTAAAAATAAAATCAAATATGGTTCTCACGTTCTCACATCAACTAATTTTTATTTGAACCAGTCTCTCACACCATTTAATAAAAAATATGCATGTGCTTCATATTCAATTTAAAATATAACACAAAATAGCACTGCCTAGTGCATAATATACATCATAATATGCCCGGTGCCATGAAAAATAAGCAATTTATGTAATTTGGAACTCCAAAGCATGTTTGTTTGTTTGTTTGTTTATTTTTATTTATTTATTTATTTATTTATTTTTTGTAAAGACCAGAAAACATGTATGAACATGAACCAAAGAAAAAATAGACAATTTACCTCTACAGAACCTGACAAACTTTCGAAGTTTGAATTTTCGGTTTACTAAAAAATAGCATTTAGCCCCAAATATAAAATAATATAACTCGACAAAATATAAAGGCATGAAAATTGGGCCCAATTTTATATAAGCTGGGATCATGTGCTCACACATGGCTTCGTCTCGGGTCGGTTCCACCATACCCGCTGGACTAATTAGAAACTTCTATTGCCATATATATTTTCATTTTTTTTTTCTAGAAATTTAACATTTTATTATTATATTATTTTTTATTTGAATTCACCATTATTTGAAAAAAAAAAATGTTATAAATTAAACAACTGTTGGAATATCAATCTTGAGTTGTCCATATTGATTGTACAGTATTTTTATATTATTTTTTAGAGTATAACATTTTAACTTCAAAAAATATAAATATTTATTTAGTAAGTATAGATGACTAACCTTTAGACCTACCGATCAATAGCGTCAAGAAAAATATTTCGCTGGTCTTCAGTTGGACCGCCTAAACCGCTAGACCGACATACTCTATTTCATAAATGTACATACTTTTATTAGAAAAAATGTCGTACTTTCAAAAATAAAATGAACATGATGTGGTCGTTAGTAGCGGCTCATGAAGGACTGGTTGTGTCCGGGTTCTAGTCGCACTCAGTTGGGTGGTTCAATCTGGTAAGCACGGTCCACGGTACCTTTAGAGTACATGGGCGGTAGGCGGATGCTCTGGTAGGCGGATGCTCTGGTAGACGTAGCCCATGGTGCTTTTGGTGTACATGGGTGGTAGGCGGAGACTAGCTAGCTGGACGTTCTGCTAAGGAGACCAGAGCCCAGAGGTGGTATCGTGCTCAAGTCATGAAGAGGTTCACAACCTCAAGGACTCTTAGGATCTTGACCTAATTCAGATAAAGACTCCTAGTATAATAAGAATTCTTCAGCTACTACATGACTTCATCTATAAAAGGGCATAGGTTCATTCATTCTAAACGATATATACATACGAATTCTCTCGTTACTCTGCCGTTTTTTCTTCGGACCACCGCTGACTTGAGCGTCGGAGTATTCGCGCCGGGACCACCCCCGGCGTGTTTTGCAGGTACCGACAATCAATGAGACGTAACCCAGTTCGAAGAGGAGCGGTCCAGTGGTCTAGATATTTGTGGTATAACAGAACATGAGTGTGTTATTTGATAAGATGATAATAATATAACGAGTCGACTCATCCAATGATTATTATAGTTTACACAATAACTTGTGAAAATATAATAGTGTTGATTGACCTTTAATAAAAATATATAGAAATATGACACTTGATAGTATTAAAATGTATTTTTATTTATTCACAAAGTATAATATGATCTTTTCGTTTAACTAGTATTCATCCTGTGCACATGCACAAATAAAAATAAAATTTTATATATTATATTTATGTATATAATATATAAAAAATTTATATTAGTTAATTGATGTATTATATTTAAAATTTTGACTACATGCAAATGTGTAATGTAAATATAATTTATTTAACTTACATATGAATTTTTATATTGATGCCATAAATTTTAATGGCTAATATAATTTAGTAATTTAGAGGGACCATACAATTAATTAGTTAGAAAAATATTACCATACAATTAATTAGTTAGAAAAATATTACAGTTATTTTTATCATTGTTATAGCATTTGTTTATGTGATTTTAAGATGTTTAATTATGACACTCATGCCAATTAACTAATATTATATAAAAATCGCTTAAAAAGAACAAAAAATATTTCATTTTAGAAAAAGTATCTTAAAGAAAAAAATTGCAATACAATTTTTTATAAGTATGTAACTTCCACATACTATTTAATGTAAAGTTGTAATCAATTAATGTTAGTAGTGAATAAATTATATTCAAATTATTATTACACTTTATTAATGTAAAATGTAACGGTTTTACATTAATTGAAAAAATAAGCGAAAAAATAAATGGAAATTTTATTAAATGTTTTATTAAATGCTATATGCCAGCAATTATATATATATAGATGATTTGGCTGCCCCGCATAACGGCTTCTCAATATATTTTATTTGTTGATTTTTCACATGCAATTAATTGCGAGTGTTTCTTTGTAATAAATATAGATACAGAATTTGATTCTCTTACTTGAATAAGCGGGTGGAAATTTGACACAGAAGCACTTAGCTAAGATTAATTAAAGATTAACTGAAAATTGAGGTTATAATATTAAGCAACAAAATGTAGCTTGTACATCAAACCAACTATAATATTTTATTTTAAATATTATTTCAATATAAACTCAAAATTTTAATCAAATAAACTCAACCTGCATTTCACAATTAATCATGGTTAAAAAAATCATTCCAAAAAAAAAAAAAAACCTTATAAACAAGCAAGCCCTAAATTCAGCATATTCGGTATTTTAATTGATATTTTGGTCGATATTTTTAGGTAAAATTGTATTTTGTCAAAAGCGATTTTTATGCAACATTATTTAAACATATGGAGTACAGGTGTTAAACGAAATGAGCCGCTCAGAGCATGTTTGTTTATAGAATTTTTTGGTTTTGTTTGGTTAATTTTGAAAAAAGTGGTATGGTTAGTTGTTAGTGGGTATATTAAAATAATATTTAAAATAAAATAATAAAAATAATTTGATATAAAAGTAAGAGAGAGATGGTTTGATGTGATAGTTAGTTAAAATAATGTGAGTGGATGAATAGTGAATTAAAGTGGATGTGGTGTGTATAAATGATTAATTGATATTATTTAATTATATTGATAATAATTGATGATAGTGAGTTGAGTTAAAGTTGAGTTAAAAAAATAGTTGAGTTAAAATGTGGAATTTTTTTTAAAAATTTCCATAAACAAACATGCTCTCAGGAATTCGACTAGGCTCACCTCGTTAAATTTTGAAAATGAAGATTGTTTATAATCATGCTCGTTAATATTGATTAGCTAGCCAATCTCGATTACAAAATCGTTTATCTAACAAGCGTCTCAGCTCGGTTCGGACTCCACTCGATTCGTGGTTTACACCCCAGTAGGTGTGAGCATCAGTGTAGTTCGACAGGAAAAAAACCGAAAATTAAAAATCTAGAATTTGCATACCGAGCCGCACCGCAATAAAATACAAAAAATCAAACTGAATCAAACCGAAATTTTCAGTTTTGTGCGCCTCGGTTTTTCTATTAATCGCAATTAAAAAAATTATAAAAACATAAATCAAAGTTCAACCATACAAATTAAACCTTAAGCCAAACACAAATCAAAACTTCAAAACATTGTTTTTTTTAATCTTTAAAGCTAATTAATTATAAATGTAAAACGATATAAGACATCAAGAGTTTAAGGTAATATATTAGCAACTTTATTTGATACATCAAAGTTTCGGTGGTGTTGGGTTAAACAACACCGTTCATACTCAAAATCAAATCGCACTAAATTTGTTACGGATTTCTTAAATTCAAACCGCACCTCAAACCGGAACTTCTTAAAAACTGGACCTCACCCTACCGAACACATTAGTTCGATTCGATTTTTCGATTTTGCTCACCCCTACACCCAGGCCCCACCTACCACTACCTGCAACATTTGTAGAATTGCGGTTAAGAAATGTCACATTTTACCATTTTCCTCAAACATTTCATTATTACAATCAACAACAACTATTTAATTGAAAAAAAAAAAAAAAGAGTGGGGCAAAGAAAATTTGACCAAGCCTCCCCTATTTGACCACCAATACCTTCCGCGTATACATTTCCCAACTCCTCTCCCCAAAACCTCATTTTTTCACTTTCTCCCCCAAAAGCAATCAATCCCTTCAAATCTTCACATTTATTTATTCATTCATTCGTCACTACTCTCTCTCTATCAGCCATACACACACAAAACACGCACTCACAGAGAATAAAGCCCAACACAGAAGAAGATCAGAGAAGCTTTTCCGGCGGAGATAAATGGGAATCCTCTTCAAGGAAGACAAATCTCCGACCAAGAGACCTGTGGTAGTGGTCGTCGTCCCAAGATGGGTTAAGGCCCTGTTTTTCCTAATCACCATGCTCATCTCTCTCCTCCTGTTCTCCGCCCCCGTCCTGCTTGTCATCGCCGACGCGCTACTCCCCTCCGCCTTCATGTCCGCCGCGCTCCGGCCGGCGGCGGCGCCGCCGCTAGGCCTGCGCGCAATTTCCGACCAGCTCAGCAGCTACGACTTCCGGAGCTCGCTCGTCGATATCCCCATCGTCTCTGTGATCCGCTCCGCGATCATACTGTGTGAGTATCCATATCATAGACGAGCTGAAAATTAGGGATTCGAGCTCTTTAATTTCTTCGCCCCCAATTTGCAATTGAGAATTGCATTCGCATCAACTAATTGACGCGTTTTTTTTTTTTTGAATTGATTTGGGGATTATTCAGGTGTTTACAGCTTTTGCGACGGGCCGAGGTTGTCGAACGGGCCGTACCTGGGCGTCGCCACCGCGTGCTCGGCGGCGTCGCTGGTGTTCGTGTCGCTGAAAGCTTCGTACGTGTTCGTGAGCGGCGGCGGTTATTGGGAATCGACCGGGTACGTGAGGGCGATGGTGGCGGCGATGTTTGTATCGTCGCTGGGGCTGGCGGTTGGGCACGTGGTGGTGGCCTACCGGACTAGCTGTAGAGAGAGGAGAAAGCTTCTCGTCTACAAAATTGATATTGAAGCTGTAAGTCAATTTAATTTAAAACTTAAAAAGGAAAATAAATAAATAAATAAATAAATAAATAAATTTTAGCTTAACATTAGCTAGTTCGTTTGAATTTAATGTGTTAAAATTTAGGTTTGGGCTTTGATTAGGTTACTTTTGATATCTGTTACAGTCTGGCTCCACTGTCATTCCAAAAACTAATTAAATGTGTACCAAAAAAATAAAAATAAAAATAAAAATAATAATAATAATAATTAAATGTTATTTTCTTAAAAAAAATGTGATTCCTTAATATTCTTCGCAATCATTATATTTATTTATTATTTAGATTTGAATTATTTAGGTATGGAGGCGTGCCTTTTTTTTATCAGTTAAAATTCAATTATAATCCAACGGACACATTTTATTTCTTTATTTATTTGAATTTACGTTATAGATTAAAGGTATGGGTAGTTTTTATCTGCGATGCAAGTTGGGTGTTGGAAGGCCCACTACACGCTGTATAAAGACGACCAAACCTCAACTTGAACTTGTGCGTGTTGTGTTATGCATGTTATGAAATTCTAATATTATTTGAATTTTGTGGTTTTTGTCTTTTTTGACCCCTAATATTTTAATTTATTCAAAATGTATGAGATAATACAATGATCTTAATCCTTTCAGAATAGTTTAATCTTTTTATTGTCTAAAAAAATTATCTCAAACTTAGGTCATGTTTGGTAGAATTAACTGATAAGGTAGATTATAGCTTACAAGTGAATTTTTCGAGTTTATAGCTTACGACTTATAGTTAAAAAACTAAGTTATGATAAAAGTGTTTGACTGATAAGTTAGTTGAAGTAGAAACTTCAATGAACTTACTCGAAAAGTTGCCTAGAGAAGTTTATGAGATAAGCTCGAACATTTTAAAAAAGTTCGTCATACCAAATGAAACTTATTTAAATCAATATACCCAGTATATTCTCAACAGGTTGGGGTCTGGGGGGTCAGTTGTACGTAGACCTTACCATTGTAATTATACAAGGAGGTTGTTTCCATAGCGACCCAAGACGAAACTTATTTAAATACAAGAAGTTTATAACCTGGCCAAATAAGCTATATAAGCTAGCTTATTTGGTTATCAAACAAGGCGTTAGATGGAAAATTTTAGGAAATATGTCTTTCATGTGTATGGTATCTTACATTTTACACATTTGGAACTTTCATTGAAAGAGACCTCCTTATTGTCTTGTTATTTTTACATGTCTAGTGTGAATGAGTTAGTTGCCTTTTCTATGTTTGACAAATATGTGAAAAGCATCAGCTGGGAGTTTCCATTGGAGTTCCTATGAAATAAAGGGCAGAAATGCAATATTTTACATTTTTGAATGGAAAGTTCTAAATTTGTGATAATTGTTCATTTTAAATATTGAAATTTTTCTCAGACCCATATACACAAATCTAAACAAATTTCAATTTTTTGTTGACAAATTTCTTTATGGCTTTGTCTGCAGGTTTCAGCATGCAAGAATGGATTTCCTAGATACCAAAAAATACTCCAAGAAGCCAGAAAAAAGTGACCAAAAAGCAAATTAATTATTTTTTATTTAATCCATTATTCCCCAGTGTCAGGTTTCAGGTAAATTAGGAAACTTTTTTCTATTTTATTTTATTGTCCATATTTCATACCTAACTGGTTTAAATGTCCAAAATTTGCCTAATTAACTAATTCCAACTAACCCTTTTTTTCCTTTTTTTTTTTTTTTA